TATTTTTTTAAATTTATCTACTTACAACATAGATTCTTATCCAAATTTTATAATTTTTTAGAATTATATATTTACAACAAAATTTATAAACATATAACTTACACCATTGAAATATAAAGAAATTAAAGTATATTTTATAAATAAAATTCATACATTTTAATAATTAAGCGACATCTTCATCTTCGTACTAATAATAACACCCACATAATCTATGTTCCGAGTTGTTAAATGAAACCCTAAAACTGCCCTATAGTCTCCTCTCGAGAAGATTAAAAACAAAAAATCTCCTGGTCATTCAAAAGGGTTTGTAATTGTCAGTGTAATGGGCAGGAGAGACTGAAAAAATGGGCACAAAGCTTAAAATTTCTGTAAAAAGAAGAGCAAACGCAATCTTTTGATTGAAGGCTTATTTGCTTCGACTTCCCCATGTTATATAAAACCTGCTTTTCAATCCCAGAAGTATGATTCTCTGCTTGTTGCTTGATCCACTCCGCCATTAACGAACGACTCGGAGAGTGGGAAGAGTATTCTTATAATGCTCAAGGATTCAAGTAAGATTCCCAACCATCTTTTTGTAGCTTCTCTGCTTTCGTCAAGACATCATCCCTTGTGTCTTCTTGATACTGGCTCATTCTGCATGTTCCATCGCATGCATGCAAATATCGGCAAGTTAGAGTTTTTTTTAAGGTAACTACTGAGCATTTTTTGTGTTTCTTTTCTTCATACTTGTACTATCTAATCCCTGTCCGTGCATAGGCAAGATATAACTCGTTCATAATGCACGTTCAGAGAGAAAGAAAAAGGTAAAGAGAGAAAGAGAGACCTCGCCAGTAGGTCAGCATCGCCAACCCCCAACATCCTAACAGCCAGTAAGCCAGCATTTGTCGCATTGTTTACTGCCACTGTTGCAACTGGTACACCACTAGGCATCTGATTAATCAAGAGCAAAACCAATGTCACTTGACACCTAATTGACGCAAAAAACAGCAAAATATAAAATTAACATTGTTATCGACTATGATTTTGGAAGATTAAATATGCATGATATCCGTTTTTCTTTCAAATATTACTTTAGCACAACAGCAACATGTAGAACTGATATTATAGCATGGTATGCATTATCGAAGTCTAGGGTGGAACCAAATCAGGCTCAACATCCAACTACTTGACCTTGAGCCAAATTTGACCCGTGAAGCTAACCGGAGTCTTATATTTGGCTGAAAAGCTAGTGAACCTTTTATTTATCTATCAATTGTATACAATTATGTATACATTTATTTAATATTTATATTTATAACGTAATTGTGTATGTTTAATTTTTAATTTAGGGGTTATTTTCTCTTTTCATCTTTCATCTCAGTTTCCCATTATCTTAGAGTGTCTTGCTGATTTTCCATCTCCCAATCTCTCATTTGTGTCATATCTTATTACCTCCAGCTTCAACAAACCTAGCTTTAAGACTTCATAATCTCTCCATGTTTCAGAACAACATATCAACAACATAGTTGAATTCTTTCATCAATCCATAACTAACTGTGATTTTCAAAGGTAATGTGCCTTTTATGTGAATTCCAAATTTTGGATCTGAATTTCTCTGCAACGATCTTTGGAGCTGGAGGTTGTGGGTCTTCTTCTGGTCTAAGGTTGGGTGAGTTGAGAATTTAAACTCAGCAAAATGGAGGAAAAATATTAAATTTATGTGTTAATAAAACAGCCTTTTATGAATTTGTAATTTTTTAGTGAATAAAAACACATTAAAGAAAGTGGAATAAAGTACATGCATAATATCAATCTTGTTCAGGATCAGGCTTGATTTGGTCAGGATCTTTTACCAAGTTTCCTTCAAATACAAATTTGAACCTTTTAGTTTCCATTGCTAGCTAAGCTCGAGCTCAAAAAGATCAAATAAGCTTTTAGCCAAACTCAAGCTCAGCGACATTTAATCAAACTGAATTTGAATGCTCAAATATTTGGTTTGGTTAGTTTCCAACGCTATTAGAGTCAAATAATGCTGTCCGAGACACTTTATTTTAGGGGGGTTGGGTTCAAGATCAGGCATTTAAAATAAAGTTTCACAGCACTTAAGAAACCCATACCTGCACAATCGACAATAGAGAATCAATTCCATCCAGTGTAGAAGCACGAACAGGAACACCAATAACCGGCAAGGGAGTAAGTGCAGCTACCATACCTAGAGTTCAGGGTAGAGAATTATTAAACAACAAGGATTCTTGATGCCTGAGAATGATGCTATATGAGGGAGGTAAGATTATAGAAGAAAAAAAAATTATCAAAACAAAGTAAAAAATTGTCTCTAGCCAATGCTTCATGGGAGGATTCGAATGAAATCTTAATCAAACATCCCACTTTGGCGCTTGCGGACAAGCTTCAATTTGAGGAGGGAAAAATGTTACACCGTACAGAAAGAGGAACCTCATCCAGTTATTCAAAATAAATTAGCAGGAAAAACGTATATGCGTATGGACCCATATAAGCAACAAAGTGAAGGAGTTAAAATCTATAGTTAAATTAGGAAGTTGGTTTATTTAAGTAACTAATAAGAGTGATAATTCTTTAAGAATTTATATTAAGTATTTAGATTTTGACATAGATTAGCAAATTAGAATAAAACTAAGACTATGATTACTAGAGTAATAAATAGATTAAGATTAGGAATTAGAATCAAACTCGGACTATCATTCCTAAAATTGAAATATTCTCTATAAATACACCTATTATCATGAATAAAATTATCAAGCTATTAATTTAAGAGTTTCTCTCTAAAAGATTGGAGGTTCCCTTGAATGAGTCTCATCATAGGCTGGCAAGGCTGGAAAACCAGGAAGCAAGCAGCATACTTGCTTCAGGATTTCACACTAGCCGGTACTGTGACCAGATCCAGAGCCTGGGACTCTGACAACCATTGATGTAAAAAGTTGTCTCTCGTGATTAAAAACCACATTTTGATACTTACTTCTAATTTTCTCTTATTTTCATTAATTTTTTCAATTTTACCCTGTTTAAGGAATCGTCCCACTATATGAAGCATAGCTTATCAACCTACCTGGCAAATGAGCTGCACCGCCAGCACCAGCAATAATAACCTGAATGCCATGCTTTTGTGCTGATGACGCATATGAAAACATCAGCTCAGGAGTCCGATGTGCTGACACTATTCTAACCTGCAATTGTTGATAATGAAGATCAAGCAGAATTTCCAGAATCAAGCTGACTGACAAATTCCAAAGGGAATATTAGATCATGATAATATCACCTCATGGGGTACACCAAACATGCTAAGCATTCGAGCGGCGTCCTTCATAACAGGAAGATCTGAATCAGAGCCCATTATAATCCCAACACGGGGTGGAACTGCATTTGCAGACAATGGTGGAAAATCATGTACTTAAGATAAGAACCTTTCCTATAAAAAAAGAAGATAGAGGTATAAGCTTACAAGAAGTAAGAGGAAGCATATGTTTTATTTTAACAATTTTGCGTAGGTATTATCTATTCAACGCAAGCCAGCAGAATGAGGCATTTCCCCATTTTCAGTTCACAGGCCTAATTAACTTTGCAAGAACTTTGTTGTTTAATTATTAACTAGGAATTAAGTTCTGTCAACAGTATATATTATTCCAGTAGACAGAAGCCAACTGAACTCAATGTTTTGCCTCAAAAGAAAAGAAACAATTCGTTCACTTGTCACCAAGGGGCGCCACCCTTTTACAAGAGATTTAAAAGAACATAGTCATCAAAATACCTTCAAGATCCCCTGAATGTTCCCAGTTACTGAAGGGACGACCCTTACAATTTTTTTTTTTGAGAAGAATGTGTAAGACATATTAATTAGGCGCCAAGGGGGCACACCACCGAGTACACGAAATTTACAACTCGGTAAGAATATTTACAATGAGCCCAAAATCATCAAAACTATCAAGGTTGTGTCCTAACATAATAGAACCAAAAAGGTGTAACCATTTGTCCTTGATATTAACAAAATTCCTCTCAATACCCTCAAAAATTCTATTGTTTCTTTCTTTCCAAACAATCCAGAATATAGTGAGTGGAATTAGTCGGAAGCACTTGTTCTTGAAAGTGAGACCCTCCCAAGCGAGAAGTTCAGCCTTGATGGAGCCTGCTATAACCCATTGAATACCCATTAAACTGTAGAGGTCAGTCCACAGACTGTAAGTGGTTGGGCACCATAACAGAAGGTGCCTGCAGCTTTCCAAGTTGGATTTGCATAAGGGGCATCTATTAACCAGTTGGAAACCTCTCTTCATGAGCCTGTCAATGATCCAGATGCATTCTATACAACCTATATATACATAGAAGGATGTGAGTAACTGTGTTTCTCTGGCTGTCACTAGTTCTTAACCCGGATCAAGGACATAACTCAGGACTCACTGAGCCTGCCACCACCTAGCTAATGCTGACAAGACACAAAAACGTATTTCAAAAAATGAACTCAACATATAGTAGTTGACGTGAGAAAAGAGCTCAGATCACAAAATAGAAGCCCTGCCTGTCTCAATTTAAGTGATCATATTGGCACTTGCTTCTGGGAGTACCTCCTAAATAAATATGCATAAGACATGGGAAAAAAAATGGAAAAACCACACAACTGACAAAAGAGAACCTTGCTTTAGTTCATCAACATCATGCTGTTCAGACCACAAGATTTTGTAAATACCAGCTCATAGTAAGGAAACTGACCTGAGGATCGAGAATCAATACCCTCCTCGTTCAGCATTGATTTTAGCCGTGTTTCTATGATACCCATAGAAGGCCAACTATGGTGATATGACCCATTTTCCG